GCCTCGGGGCCCTGCCAGAACGGAGGCACGTGTTTCCACTACATCGGCAAGTACAAGTGTGACTGTCCCCCAGGCTACACCGGCCGGCACTGCGAGATCGGTAGGTTTGGGGAGGGTGTGCCACTGCCTGGGGGGACGGTGGGTGTGGCTGTCAGGAGCTCGCTGCTTGCTTTCAGCCCCCTTCCTTGTGCCCTGCTGGGGCTGGCTCTGGTTTCATTCCTTGCTCTGCTCTTCTTCCAGTGCCCTCCCCTTGCTTTCCTAGCCCCTGTGAGAATGGGGCTACCTGCGAGGAGCTCGGCGGGGGCTATGCTTGCACCTGCTCCCTGGGCTATGTGGGGAAGCACTGCCAGTTTGGTAAGGGCCTTGCACCTCCCCTGCTGGCTGGGAACTTGGGGTGCCTCTGTGGGCCCCATTCATCCCCTGTCTCTCCACAGAGGTTGACTGTGGCATCCCCAGCGAGGTGAAGCATGCCCAGGCTTCTTTCAACTCCACCAAGGTGGGCTCACTGGCTGAGTACCAGTGTGAGCTGGGCTACATCCTCAGCCAGCACAATCACCCTCGTGTGTGCCGTGTGCCAGGCGTCTGGAGCGACCCCCCTGAGTGTGATGGTGAGGAGGGCTGGGGACTGGGCAAGCCTGGGACACCATCCCAGTGGCCTGAGGTCACCACCATGGCTTGGTGACCCCAGGATCTGTACTGCAGTTGTCTGCTGCCTTCTCCCTGGGATCCCTGTCCTGTGCTCATGCCTCTCCCTTGCTCAAATTTCTTTAGAGATCGATGAGTGCCAGTCGCAGCCGTGCCTGAATGGTGGCCAGTGCAAGGATCGTGTCTCTGCCTTCCTGTGCTTGTGTGAGCCAGGTTACACCGGCCACCACTGCGAGCTGGGTAAGAGACCATGCCAGCCATGCTCCAGGACTGTCACAATGCCTTCCTCACCCTTGGGAAACCCCCATGGATTGCAACGGAGCTAGGTTACCAGGAGTTGTGTGTGCTTGGATCAGCCTGAGGCAAGGCCTTCTTTCCCAGGGCTCCCAGCCAACTGTAGGGTTTTCCACCAGGGAGACACTGCTCCTGTTTGGGGATAATGGGCAGTGTGGGAGGTGGTGGGACTCTGGCAGTTGGCTCCAGCCCAGCTCCCTGGGATCTGGCAGAGGGCAGTGGTAGGAGAGGCTGGGCTGTTGGAAGCTAGATGAGGGGACATGACTCAGGCACCCTATGGGATGGATCTCTTGGCACAGCCCCCCACTGCCAGTTGTCCCCAGGTGTCCCTGAAGGAATGTCCCCATGCCATGTTCTTCTGGGCAGGCCTGAGGCAGTGGGCATCCAGGAGCAGGGATGTTCCTGGCCACTGGGCTTGGGGAGTCAAATGACATGGGAAGGGTCCATGCCCAGTGGGAGAAGTGCTGCTCTCCAAGCCCCTGTCCCTAGCACCAGCCATGTCTGTGCTGAGCTGGTGCCTTTCTTCCCACCGGACCCCAGATGTTGACGAGTGCCAGTCGGAGCCCTGCAAGAACAGCGGGACCTGCCAAGACCTGCCCGGGTCCTTTGCCTGCTCCTGTCCTGAGGGCTTCCTGGGCACCCAGTGTGAGACAGGTAGGGGCTCTCCCTTCCTTGGGGCCAGTGGGAGGCTGCACTGTGGCACCAGGACACTGCCAGGGCTGGCACCATGCCAGGTGGCTGCTCGCTGTCTGGGACACCTTGACCCCAAGCCATCACCTGGTTGCTCACTATTGCACCTCCTTGCCTGTAGTTTTGTGGGCAGAGGTGAAACTGCTTCTGATGGGGAGGGAACAAGGAATGAAGTGTCCACCAGTGATGGACTCCCTTTCCAAGGTGTTCATCCCTTCCTTGGGATGTGGGCACCATGGTGCTCAATGCAGGTTTCAGTGTCCAGCCTAGCTGTGCCAAACTCTGAGCTGTGCATCTGCCCTGCTGCCCCCTCGGGGGTCTGTCACTGTTGCTCGTTCATGGAGGCTGGGAGCTGGCTGCTGGCATGCTCACTGTTGGCCTTCTTCCCCCTCCAGAAGTGGATGCCTGTGAGTCAGACCCTTGCCAAAATGGAGGGGATTGTGAGAGTTACGGGGGCTCCTACCTCTGTGTGTGCCCAGAGGGTTTCTTCGGCTACCACTGTGAGACAGGTGAGGCAGCAGGGCAGCACAGGGTGGCCCCGGGGTCAGGGGCACTGCTGACACTGCCAAACCTGGCACCTCTCCCACAGCCAGTGACCCGTGCTTCTCCAGCCCCTGTGGGAGCAGAGGCTACTGCCTGCCCAGCAATGGCACCCACAGCTGCACCTGCAAAGTCAGCTACACAGGCAAGAACTGCGAAAAAGGTAAAGGCCCTCAGCAGCAGCACCAGGACATGATGTGGGGCTTGACACCAGCCTAGCAGTGCCCACCGCCCACCCACGAGGGGCTCAGCACCATCCGGGACCAGCAGCACTCCTTGAGTTGGGCAGGGCTGGGGGCTCGCCCTGGGGGGGCACCAGGACACGGGGGACAGATTTCCCCTGCTGCAATGGCAATCCCTCGGATGCCCTCAGGAGGGGAGGCGGAGGCATCCAAGAGAAGCCTCTTGGCACTGGCCTCCCCCAGACCCCTCGCCCCATCCCACAGTGGCCACAAGTGCTTGGCCACCAGTGATACCAGGGAATGCTCCTGGCACCCTGGCTCCTCCTGTGCCCACTGAGCCAGGGCTGGCTTACACCCAGAGAGCCGCTGCCAGGTGTGCCAGGCAAAACGAGCGAGGACCTCGTCCTCTTATCGCCGCTGTTCTGCCGCTCGCTGACAGGGTCTGTTCTCTAAAGATTCATGGCATTACCTCTCCCCTTTGCTTTTGCACACACCCTGAAGAATTGCTGCCACCAACCTCATTAAAGGTGGAAAGGGTGGAGGACACTGGTGTGTTGATTTCTTGGCACCCACCTGAGGACGCAGCTGCCAGGCAACTCATTGACGGCTACGCCGTGACGTACGTATCCCTCGACGGCTCTTACCGCAGGACAGATTTTGTGGACCGAAGTCGTTCTGCCCACCAATTGCGGGCACTAACCTCCGGCAGAGCCTACAATATTTCTGTCTTTTCAGTCAAACGCAACGTGAACAACAAGAATGATATCAGCAGGCCCGTCATGCTCACCACGCGCACTAGTGAGTAGCGTCCCCAGGGGGATCACGCGTGGCCGTGTTCACAGGGGTCCCAGGATCAGGGAAGAATGAGGATCTGACTCCGTGTTTCAGAAGGCTTGATTTATTATTTTATGATATATGTTACATTAAAACTATACTAAAAGAATAGAAGAAAGGATTCCATCAGAAGGCTGGCTAAGAATAGAAAAAGAGTGAATAACAAAGGCTTGTAGCTCGGACTCTCTGTCTGAGCCAGCTGGGTGTGATTGGCCATTAATTAGAAACAACCACATGAGACCAATCCCAGATGCACCTGTTGCATTCCACAGCAGCAGATAATCATTGTTTACATTTTGTTCCTGAGGCCTCCCAGCTTCTCAGGAGGAAAAATCCTAGGGAAAGGATTTTCCATAAAAGATGTCTGTGACAATCGTGGTTGTGAGCGTGCGCAGCCCCTGCACGTGCCAGGGTTTGTGCTGCCACTTCCAGCCTGTCCCCAGCTCCAGCATGGTATCAAACCTGGCAGGTTTGCTGGTGCAGATCCTAAAATAAAATCCAGCTGGGGGCCTCTGGAAAGTGCTTGACACAGAGAATCGCTGTTTTCTTTGCTGTGAGTAAAAGGCCTGATGCCCTGTGACTCACCCTGTCCAGGGAGCTTGCAGTGGGGATTGTTCCTGAGCCCTGTTCATTGGGGCCAGCCTGTCCTGCTCCCTGTCACTGTGCCCAGGAGAGTATGAGGAGCCCCTGTGCAGGGCAGGCAGTGGGGCTTCTGCAATCCTCTGAACCAGTCCTGCCATACTGCTGGGCTTGGTGTGGGAACATGGCAGCGAGGGCAGGGGCTGTCAGGGACCTCTGCTCCATGGGCAGAGGAAGGGGCACAGTGATGCCTCTGGGGCACAGACAGGCAGGGCAGCTTTGACCCCACTTCCTAGGGCAGGCAGGTGTGGAAAGCAAATGCAAACAGGATGGAGGGAATTAGGAAAGCAGATGGCCTCTGAGGAGAGGAGAATGGTGGTGGTAAAGCCCAATCTCCCACAGCAGGCTGAGACCAAGGGAAGCCCAGAGGAGGAGATGGCAGCATAATGCTGGGCACAGCATCTCATGGGGCCTCAAGCCACAGCTGGATGCTGAGGTCAGGATGGCCACCTGAAGTGTGCCCTGGACTTAGCAGTCACTAGTGGGGTTCCCCAGGGCTTGGTTTGGGGCCAGTCCTGTTTAACATATTTACTGATGGTCTGGACCTAGGGATTTTGTGTACCCTCAGTGAATTTGTAGCCAACACCAAGTTGGATGGGAGTGTTGATCTGCTTGAGGGTAGGAAGGCCTTGCAGAGAGACCTTGGCACACTCAATCACAGGGCCGAGGACAACAGCGTGATGTTCAGTAAGGCCAAGTGTTGAGCCCTGCACTTGGGTCACAGCAGCCCCCTCAGCTCCAGGCTGGGGGAGGAGTGAAGAGTCTTCAGCAGAAAGGGATGAGGGTGCTGGCTGACAGCTGGCTGAACCTGAGCCAACAGTGATCCCAAATGGCTCAGGAGGCCAATGGCATCTTGACCTGTATCAAGAGCAGCGTGGCCAGCAGCACTAGGGAACTGATCATCCCTCTGCATTGGCATTGTCGAGGCTGCAGTGCATTCAGCTCTGGGCCCCTCACTTTAAAAAGGACATTGAGGCACTGAGGCATGGCCAGAGAGGGCAGCAAGGCTTGTCAAGGGTCTGGGAAACATGAGGAACAGCTGAGGGCTGGGTTTATTTAGCCTTGAGAAGAGGAGGCTCAGGGGGACCTCATAACTTCCAAAACTCCCTGACAGGAGGTTGTAGTGTGGTGGAGGCTGGTTTCTTCTGTCATGAATGCAGAGAGAGAACAAGAACTAATGGCTTAAAGCCAAGACAGGGAATTCACATTAGATAGTAAAGAAAGTTTCACTCTTTGGGTGGTCAAACATTGGAACAGGATATGCAGGGAGGTGGTAGAGTCACCATCCCTGGAGGTGTTCAGGAGGCATCTGGATCTGGTGCTGGGTGATGTGGTTTAGGGGTTATAGTAGTTTATAGTGCGGTTTATAGTGACAGTGCTGGGAGGATGGTTGGACTGGATGATCTCCTAGGTCTCTTCCAGCCTTGATGATTCTATGGTTAGGGCTGTGCCTGGGCACTGCAGCCCCTTTGGAGCTGTGGTGGGGGGCTGCTTTGAGTAGCCCAAGGCCCTGTGGGTGGGCAGACAGATGTGCCTCCCACATCCCCAGACAGATGTGCCTCCCACCCGCCTGGGGACTGTGAGGAGAGCATGAGTTCAGTGGCAGAGGTGGCACTGAGCCGTTCCACAGGGAAAGGCGATGCAGAGGTGCCCTCAGGACGCCCTGGGGGCACACAGGGAAGGGAGGGGTGACCCGGGGTGACCGCAGTGCTCTGTGCTTGCTCCGGCCAGGGCCGCGCCCGGTGGAAGGCTTTGAGATCAGCAATGTGACAGCCAGCGCCATCACGGTGCACTGGGCTCTGCACCGCCTGCAGCACTCCACTGTCAGCAGGGTCAGGGTCTCCATCCGCCACACGGGGGACCTGGCAGCCCGCACCGTGGAGCTCAACAGCAGCGTGGCCAAGTACACCTTCCTGTGAGTGCTGCTGCCGGGTGCCAGGGTCTGCCTCCCTCAGCTTGCCCTGCTCACCCCTTCCCATCTGATCTTTTTCCTGCACAGGGACCTGCAGCCAGGAGAGAGGTATATCATCCATGTCACAACGCTGAGCGGCCTGGGAGTGGAAGACCACCCCTCAGAGAGCCTGGCCACAGCCCCTTTCCATGTGTGGACAAGTGAGTGAGGTTGTCTTTGCCATCCTGGCTTGGCAGGAAAGCTGTGGGGAGGGAGAGGTGTGGGAGCTGCCAGACTGTCTGGCCAGCACAGCCAGCAGGAGGTGTGCAGGCAGGGCTGGGGAGGCCAGGAAAGACTCTGGCATGTGCTCCCCTGCCAAATGTTGTTCAGTCTCTGAGCCCAGCCCCATGCATGGGTGCAATTCATCCCCTGCTGTCTGGCAGCCAGAAGGCAAGGCCTGACCTGGGTGCCAGGGTGCAGTGAGGCTCTGTCTGCCTTGGCAAGGACTGAGTGTTGAGCATCCCCTGGCTGGAGCAGGCTCGGGGCTGGCCTGGGCAGTGCCAGGCAGGCTGGTGTAAGGTGATGTGACCATCCAGTGACACCAGCTCTGACCGCTTTCCTCCCCATCCCCTGCCTGCTGCAGGGCCTCTCCCCCCACAGAACCTCACTGCCTCCCATGTCACCGCCACCTCCGTGTCCATGGCGTGGCAGCAGCCGCCTGCTGGCACCACGGAGGGCTACATCATCAATGTCACCACGGCCCAGAGCGTCAAGAGCCGCTACGTGCCCAATGGGAAGCTGGTGTCCTACACGGTGCGGGACCTGCTGCCGGGGCAGCGCTACCACCTGTCCCTGACAGCTGTGCAGAACACGGAGCAGGGCCAGCTGCACAGCGAGCCCATCCACCTCCACGTCAGCACCTGTAAGTGCTCCCGGGCTCTGCTGGCTGCTGCAGCACGAGGGGGGCGGTGGGAGAGCAGGGAAAGGGGTAAGGGGTGGAAAGCAGTTGGCCAACAGTGATGAGCCCTTGTTGCCTCATCACTCTTTTGGAGGAATGGGAGGTGGGGGTTGTAGGGTTAGCAAAGGCAGACACAGAGCTCCAGCTTGGTGATGCACCTGCATCCCTGGTGTGTGGAGAGTGTGTGTGGCACCTGCAGCCCCACCTGGCCGCCTGGGGATGATGGCACTGGCTGGGAGGTCGGTTGCTGGCTCACGCTGCCTCCATTAAGCCTCATCCTTTGGTGTGCAGTGCAGAGGGATGGCGCTCCGGAGAGGCGGTGGAGCCAAGCCGGGCACCCGCGGGTCCTGCGGAACAGGCTGCCCCCA